GTTTATGATCTTACCGATGTTTTCTATCAGATTTTTCAAGTTTGTGCTGTTCCTCCCATTTTTATTCTGGCTCTTGCTGTCAATGACATGGACTCTGCCTCCACAATCTTCAACGCATTTCTTAAGGTCATCGTTGGTTTTTGCGAAATCTTCAATGGATTGGCCTTCGTCAAGACGCTGGCCGTGGGTGTACAGGAGAGCTGTGTACTTCAGGATTCCCTCACCAAAGTACGCACTTATCATACTCACAAGTGCTTTCTCCTCATCAGTATACTTGCCTACTTTCATCACTAAGATGAAGGCATGCACACCAGGGGCACAATCAACAATACAGGAAATTAAGGCTTTCTTTAGATCTTCAGCATTATTGTCAGGATCAAAGATGCCCGGTGCCTCAATCATTTTCACTTTTCTGTCATTAATCTTTCCTTGTTCAAGGTTTTCTTCAAGAAGGTCTGTCACAGTTTTATTGTTAGACTTAGCTTTCCCAAAAATGACAATCCTCAGCTCGCTAGAATCTTCAGAAGGACGACACATGATTAGTGTGGCAATTATACAAACTTACCAGAATTATTTCAGAAAAAGCATCTCAGTGAATGTCAGATACTCATAGTGAGTGACCCACCTGTCATGTTTCTGCTCTTTGATGTACGAGGTCACAGAAAGATCCTTCTTGCTGGATGTATTTTTATGTGAAGTATCTGTATCTGCATGTGAAAATCATGGATTAATGTGTTTTTGCTCACTATGTGAATGTTGTAATGAAAACAGGCAAGTATATCATAGAGCAGGTTTAAATATCATATCAGTTAACTTGATCAATCATAAAAGATCTTGGAGGTTCAGGAGGTGTCCAGGTTTACGGATCCAGTAACTCAAAAGTCATGTGGGCTGGCAGTTAAATTTGATAATACAGGAATAAATGATCAACCAAACTATTCCTCTAATAACCCAATAAGTCTACTTCCCTGGACAGTATCAAAGGGCATTTCGCTCAACAGGGGAAAATAACTATATGCATCTGCAGTAAATGCCCAAATGCCATGTTTCATAGCAGTTACTATATGCTCTTCAAGGAAGCTTTAAAAGAGTAAAATCTCCAGAAAAAAATCATACATGCAAATATATAACTCACCAAGACAGCTGAATGTTTTCTTGATAATAGTGAAGGACTGTAATTCTTTAGCAAAATGACTTGGATATTATGGCTACAGTATTAGGATGATCCTCGGTATGATGTGCTGTATAATGTCCCCTAGACACACTTCATTGTACCTTATATACTCTTCCAGTTCATCCAATAAGGCCAATAGGAAAACACCTTCCCGGCCCCCAAAAGTTAATTCACCATACAGAAGCCCGTGTGATGTTCTGGTTTCTAGAAAAACACACCCATTAGGAAGGTTTCTGGCCATGTCTCCAGATCATGACCTCAGTGGTGTTTGAGTATTTCTGCCATTTTTTTTGATGAACAGCACCATTTCTAACACTTAAATTCATAAGTACCTACAAACTGTAAAATGTAATTACAGAAATAATAGTAATAAATAGAACTATAAACAAAGGTACCTTAGAATAATACATCATTATAAAGACAATCACTGCTTTAAGATAATCACTTAGCATTAATCACTGTTTTCCTTGGTTGCTTTGGCACATGTCATGAAACATATTTAACATTCTCACAAATATAGGAGCATTTCTGAACATGCTCAAAATTCTCAGTTAATACATACAGCGCCACAGTATGGTTTAGCTGCAAAAACCTGTAACTCACCCAAAACAATTAACTCGTGTCTCAAAAGCAAATAATTCCACCAATGAATTAGTCCATGCCACCAAAATAAAAATAACAATGAGCCAAAATGCTTAGATATAGTGTCAGTATCTCTGTACGTCTGCTTCTGAGCTCCAAAAATCTGAATGATAGTCACTGACTGATCATTTTCATTAGCAAACTAACTTACTGATGTCAAAAATACTGGATTCAACATTGCAAGACACTATGTGACAGAATGTAAAGTTCACTGGAAAGAGAAAGCACTCGCATGCACATGTTCTTTCTTTAGATCTCAAAACAATAACAAAAAAGTCACACAGCGCTGTAAAACACAAAATCATGTCCTCTGGGAACCCAAACCCTAAGCCTAACCCTAACCCTAACCATATCACTGCAATTTAGGGGACATGTTTTTAAATCATTTTGAAAACTTGGTTAATGGTTTTGCATGTGGTGACTAACACGATAATCACATACATATATAGTTTTGGGTGTAAAATTATTACAATGGGAAACAACAAAATTTATTTTGACCAACAAGACTAAGGCAACTGATAATTTTGCCAGATTATTACAATTGTACGAAATCATTTGCATATATGTACTAAAACATTTGGAAATTTCTGTGAAACAATGAGAAATTATGTTTTGCTGTGCAGAAATAACATTATGGCGTGCAGATTACAATTGTGTTGCAAATTTTAATAGTCATTTGAGAAATGTTCCAAAGCAATTGAGAAAAACAAAGCAGGTAATCTGAAAAGAATA